CCACTGCTAATAAAATTTCACAGGTATTTGTAGCTGTACATGCGGAAGGGGGAGATGGAGGGGAAGTTTTAGGGTGGAAAGGTGAAGTAGAAAGCTTTTATTAGGTTTCTAGAAGAAAATACAGATTTTTTTTTTAAAAAGTTGTACCATTGCTCACTTAACCAATGTTCACTAAATACGTCTCAGACACCAGGCACAGTCACATCCCTGTGTTCACGGGGTCAGAATCCAGGACCCCTCGGGTGCCAGGCTCCGCAGGTGCCCAGGGCCCTTATGGAAGCACGCACATTTGCATGTAACCTACAAACGCCCTCCCTTCCTCCAGTTCACTCACAATATCTAATGCAATGTAAATGTTATGCAAACAAGTTGTTACACTGTATCACTTAGCAAGTAATGAGGGGGGAAGAAAGTCTGCACATGTTGAGGAATATGCAAATTCTTAAAAAAGACTTCCCATCTGAGGTTGGTTGAATCTGTGGACATAAAACCCACAGGCAGTGACAGCTAAACACCCTGTTGCAGAGTTTGGGACAATAAACAGAACAGATGACAGACGATGTCTTGTCTCATTATGGTTTGGGTCTGAGAGGTACCCCCAAAGACTTTTGTTTTAAAAATTGTTCCGCAGATGGTAGTGTTATCTTGGAGGATTCCGGAAAGCCCTATGGAGTAGGTTACTAAGGCAAGCCTGTGAAGGATGGACCCTATTCCTGCTTCCTGTCGTACTCTGCTTCCTGGCCTGAGAAGCCTCTGCCACTTACTCCCACTGCCATAAACTGAGCCGCCTCTCTGCTAGGTCTTCCCCACCACCGTGGACTGAAACCCTCTAAATCTATGCACCAAAATCAGTTCTGGCAACCTGAGTTCAATCCGCAGAAGCCACAAGAAGATGGAGGAAGAGAACTGACTTCATAACGTTATCCTCTGGCTGTAACTCATGGCCATGGCTCCACACCCGCTTCCTCAAAATACACACACACACACAACACATACACACAATGCATACACACACAACAACACATGCACACAACACACACAACACATAGACAACACAGACACACACACAACACATACACACACATAACACACACACCATATTCTAAGAGCTAACCAAGTAAAACAAAAGACTATGGAAGCCCTGTTTTTTTGAAGATAACATGGTAAAGGAAAAGGGTGGTAATAACAAATATTCACGTGATGGAGCAGACAGGGATTAGCCAGCACAGGATAGAGACAAGGTCAGAATAACTGGGGTTTCATAGAGTTAAAAGAAGCTGCTTTAGGAAGTTGCATTTGATAGAAGCCTAGAGAAAGCAGGATGGCATACTGTGCCAATACCTCTGAGAGAGTGTTCTAGAAAGAAGGGACAAGGGACAGTTCGTATGAGAGGTGGGGAAGTGCATAACCTATGTTCGATAACAGTAAGGTGAACATGGAGGTGAACTTCAGATGGAGAAAAGCTAGGTAATCTATGGCAGAGATTAAAAAAAAGTTTTAATAACTGACAAATTTTATTGTACAAAAATAAAATATTTGCATAGTGAAGACCATAGTAGTAGAAGTTTTTAAAAACTAGGGAAGATTGAAGGTTTCTATCAGAAAAGGTCAGGTTTTCTTCATTTCTTAAAAAAGAAAGTTCTTTTTATCAATAGGAAAATCTGAGAAGCTCAATTGAAAAAGAACTAAATGGCAATTGTGAAGAGATGGGCTTCTTCCCTGACCTGTAGAGGGGCGGGCTCACAGAAGAAGCTTTACTTCAATCAAGAAGAAAAGAAAAACTTATGAAAATGTAAATTATTTCCCCCTGCCTTTCCTTCCTTCCGCCTCCTACCACGTGCACCCCTTACTCCCTCTCAAATTTATGGCCGACAATAAGAAACCTCCTAAAGAGATTTTAGCCAATGCCATTTAGACTCCATGTTATGTCTTAGTATACAATCGAAAATCTTGTCCTTTTTCATACAGACTTTTTTTATGAGCAATGTTATTTTTTTGCTTATGATGGAAACATATATTGAGACAGATCAATGTACTGGATAATGATCATGCAAGGAAACATATAAAGCACACAGTTAAATAGCCCATAGTTATCTTTTTCTTTAATTTTATTTTTAAGTCTCTCCATGGTTCCAATACATTTCCCATACAAGAACCTTTCTTTTGGGTTCTAGCTATCTGGAGTAGTTAATCTCCACCAGAAAACCTGCTGCCAATTTTTTTGATGGGGGAGATTGGTTTTGATAAGAACATAAAACAAATATAAGCAGAGAAGGAACAATGAGCTCTCAGACATGTAACTGCCCCTCAGACTCACAAAGGAGAAAATGGATTTCACAGTGACCTGTTACAGTGACATAGCAGGCATTTTTTTCACTTAATTGATAATTAGGTCATTAAGGTCTTGTGAAATATCTGCTTTGTGAAACGACCCATGGCATATGCAGGTGAATCTGTGTTATCTAAGGAAAATACCAGAAAAAAACTGCAGGGCTTCTTTTTGTGATGTCATTCATGGTATATTCTGCTCCCTGAAGAACATGTAGGCTAGAGTCTGGAGCTGAGGGGCATGGCTGGAACCTCTTTCTGCTCCCAGTTCTGCCCCGAAGGGCTAACTCCTCCCCATTTCCCAAGGAATACAGCGGGGACTCTTATGAGATATTGCAGAAATAAAAACAGTTGGTAACACTAAGAGTGGATACTGTTTATAAAGCCCGGGGCTCTTTAAAAACATGAGTCTTTACTTTCCAGATAGTTCTACATCTTCTATATTTAAAAAAAAAAAACTCCTCATAAAATGTTTCTCCACAGCCTAATTCATTGCTCCTTTCCAACCCTGCGAATGTTTTGATGTTAGACGTGGGTTGAGCATGGTTGGGTGTGCAGTAAAAATGAAATTCAGTTTCCTCACATCACACTGTAAAACAGCTAACTATAAACAGCATTTTGCATTAATAATATATTACATTTAGAAAGCAGATTATATGATATATACACAGTATATTTCATTGTGTGCTTAAAATATTCATGCACAGAGAAAAAAATAGGGCATCTACCACGGTGCTCACGGTATTGTTCTGGGAAGTGGGGTTATGGGCATATTAGTCTTCTTCGTTTCCTTTTCTGCATTTTGTGAGCATTGTCTAATAAATGTATATTGTTCTGGAAGGGGGGATGTCTTCTAAAATGTGTTTTTAAGAGCTTAAACAGCTAAAAAAAAACTTGAGATCTATTGAGTGTCTAAGTTAAAAGTCTAGCTTATGCGGTTTAATGTGGGAGCCGTTGGCCTGAAACGGTTATTTTAAATTACACGTAACTGATTAGTTCTTCAGCCACGCTAAGCATAGCCACATGCTCACCCTCAGAAAGATGGCTGTTCCACGTCCCAGAAAGAAAGCTGATTATGAAATCATGCTCTGGCTATCACGAAGGGAGGCTGGGCCAGTGTCTGGTAACACCAGGATAGACTTCCGGTTGGTTGGCCCAGGGAAGAATGGTCCCCAGTACGCAACTCACGTCTCCCTGCCACACTCACCAGTTTCCCGACTGATAGCGACTCAATTTAACTCGAAGCAGCCCCTCGGAGCGTGCATTTTCAAGAGTGTACCACGTGGATATGTGTCAAAAGAAGCCTCGGTTTCTCAAACCGAATAAGAAAAATGTCCTTGCCCTTCTAGAGAGTGTTTTTGGAGCATAAATAGAAAGGCATTGTGGGTAGAGTGACAGCACAAAGCAAGGACATGACTGCGCTTATAAACTTCAAAACTGCTTTCCATGGACAACTAGGCCGTGCGCGTCTGCTGGGCCTTGATGTCTGTGGGTCCCAGTCCACCAGTCAGCACGTCCACATTCTGCTCTCTCCACCTTCCCAAAGAAGAGAAGCTGTGTTAGCTTCTTTCCCCATCGCCGAAGGCAAGTACTTGACAAAGGCCACCTAGTGAGAGAGAACTTGTCTCAGCTCATGGTTTCAGGAGGATTTCAATTCATCGTGGTGGGAAGACATGCTAGGGGAACAGCCTCTCCCATGGCCTCATGCAGACAGTAAGCAGAGAACTCAGGCCAGAAGAGAGGCTGCTGCAGATCTCAGAATTCCTCCCGGACACTACTCTCCACCACCCAGGCCTAAAGTCCTCCATCTTCCACAGCCTTTAAAATGGTTCCACAAGCAGGGGCCTATGCCAGTTTCTTCTCTGTTCCTATAATAAAACAACACAATCAGAAGCAACTTGTAGAAGGGAGGATTTGCTTGGGCTTCCCCCATCGTGGAGGGGAGGCGTGGCAATAGGAAGCAGATGTGGGGGGGGGGGGACTGCAAGGTCACATCTTGAGCTAGGAATGGGAAGTCGAGAGCAAACTGGTAAGAAGGCAAGGCCTTGAGCTCCCCAAGTTCGCACCCCTAGTGATATATTTCCTCCGGTGAGGCCACACCTCCTTGAAATAGACCAACTAGGAACCAGGTGTTCAAATGCCTGAGACTATGGGAGGGGGCCGTGTTTCTCAGTCAAACCAACCTGGGGCCTATTGTTTAAAACATATGTCATAAAAATAATCTGGAGATTTGAGATGCAATCCATAATGCAGATCAAAACCCATTGTCAAAATGTAGCTCATAGCTAACCAAACATTGTTTTCATTTCATGGAGAATAATTACACATGTTTAATATATTACTTTTGAACTGATTTTCTTATACTTCAAGCGTGGTTCTATGTATGTGAAATATTCCTAAATCTTCAAATGAAGTAAAGTATATTACGATTTTAAGACTTAGTCATCATTTTATTTGAATACATAAAATCTTATGAGTAAATGGTTATTTTTTTTCAGCCACTTGACTATACATGTTTGAATGGAAGTTAAAAACCCAGAGTGTCCTATTCTCAAATAAATGCTTGTAATATATAATAATATATAATATATAATCACATTCTATTATGATAGAATAGTGCATAGCTTCATTGTAATATAATAACAATAAGTGTCATGCTTGTATTTTACCAGATGCAATGCTCTTGGTGGCAGAGCGACTGGAAGGACCATTCAACATCGAGTCCGTCATGGATCCCATAGATGTGAAGATCTCCGAAGCCATTATGAACATGCAGGAAAACAGCATGCAGGTGTCGGCAAAGGTATGGCCCTTAGCAGTGTCTCTCCTAATGCATGCCCGTGGTGCAGGTGCGGTCATCTGAGAAACAGCACTGATGAGAAATGTGGGCAGGGACTGTAAATTCTAGTGCGCTGCCAGCAAGCTTCTCCTGCTGGACCACAAATTTACTTCTTCATTTAAAATGTGTAGCAAAATGGCATTGAGAAGGGAAATAAGTTTTTAGTTCGCAGCTACTCAATCATGACAAAATTTTTGGCTGCCTGAAGTTTCAGTGAGCCCCAAGTATGTCTGACTAATCTCTTCCATATGTGAGCAATTTGGGGGAATTTGATGTTGACATTTCTATACCCCCTCTGCTGCGTCCTCTCAAAACTTTTGGTTATAACATCACCTTTGTAGACGAGGCACTTGCTGTACATGGTCAACAGGAAATAGCCAAACACCTCCGTTGACCGACTTGAAGACAACGTACAACCTGCATGAATGAGCCTTTGAGGGAAACGTTCTTTTGTATATAAGAGTTGTACACATATTAGAAGGCAAGACACATCAGAGTCCATAAATCACATGAGACAGAGGTCCTGAGTTTGTCGCTGCGGGAGTGGGGCGGGGTGGGGGGAGGGGGACAGGCAGCAGGTTTCTGGCCTGTGCTTGTAGTCACCCAGCTGGAGGTAAGCAGGGCTCGCCTAGAGCAAAGTGGAGAAACCTGCAGCTGGGTTGAGCATAGTCTTCCATGGCCTCCTTTCTACCCCCTTCTCTCTACCAGCGTCTCCATGACAACAACCACCGCCTCCACCTCAACCCACTGAAATGCGCCAAGAGTTACATGATCTGCTTAGTTCAGCTTTTAAAAATGCTTTGTGGAAGGGATTTCACATATAGTCAAGGAAGAGAGGAGAAACAGAAACGCAGAGAGGGATCCACGGAGTTTCACCAGGCCCCCTTGACTGTCCTGAGTCAGACAGGGGTTGAGCTTCTCAGGGTAGACTAGGAGGAAGCTGGGTAAGGAAGACCGACCTGCATTTCACTCTCTCTCTGGGAGATGACTGAGCCTAGAGTTTTCTAGGCTTGACTCTGGGCTTTAATGAACCGGAGGTTCTCAGGTAGAGAAAGATGTTTGAATTACCATCAACTGTTGGGGAAATAGCACATTTGGGGCTTCCATGGAAGGCCATTTTCTTGCTTTACTGTAGAAAAAAAAAACCCAACTATCCATTCCTCTCAAATCCATCACCTAAAAACCAATTAGAGTTGTTTTGAGAGGCCGCACAGCCCAGCAGTGCTGGAGTAATTGAGGCTAGGGTTGGGGAAGTTAGAAATAGCTCTAGAGGAGAGGACCAAACAAACTGATGAACAGTAGATGGTCTCTACGGCCTGAGACCATCACCTACTTCTCAGAGGTAGATGCCTCTGCCCATCGTGCATGCTCATGTTCAGGCCATCCTTAATTCAGCAATATAAAGTAAATATGTATTCGCAATCCACAGTAGACGAGGCTCAGCTTCTACATCAAAGACGGTTTTTAGTAGGAAAGACAGGTAGGAAGCAGGCGAACCAGCTTATAAACAAATAAACAGTATCCTGCCAGACCATTGCAGGTGATATGAGTATGCCCCTTGCTCGCCAGTGACTGGACAGATTTTGATATAAGTTCCTCCTACTTGATTTTTCAAGAATCCCTGATTTAAAAAAAAAAAAAAAAAGTAGGATAGCATCCTACTAGTCCTACTTCCTAACCGGTCCCTTGGCTTTCTTTCTTAAAGCTTCTTAAATCTGTCCTTCATTTAGTAATTGAGGTATTTGCAAACACAAACAGGTAGAGCACTCCTGATTCGCCTTTAAGCAGCTCCCTTTTATGTCTGGGGTGGAACCCAAAGCCTGGCAAGATCTTGTGTCTTCTGCCTCTGCCTGTGTGCACAGCTCCCTGGTTTGTGTCTCAGCTTCTTGTGGCTTCCTCTGCCTATGATGTCCCTCTCTTCCGTCCCCTCTCAGCTGATCCCTCTTGTGATTCCCCTATCTGGACAATTCTTATGGCATCTGTTACAGACTGAAACTACACATCTGTTTGGTACTTTCTCCCCAGCATCCTTCTCCTGACGTCACTAGTCACAAGGGGCAAGGATCGCTGTGTGTGTCCTGTGCACCGAGAACCCATCCCTGGACGTGGTACAATAGAAACTGTTGCCAAAGGCTTGTAGAATTAATTTTAGAAGTAAGGAAGAGAGGAGGGAGGGAGGGATGGAGGAAGGGAGGGAGGGAGGAAAGAAACTCTATTAAGTTAACTCTGAAAAACTTGAAAGGAAGCAACTATTTTAGTTGACTAGTTCTTAGTTCTATTGCTTTGGGGGAAGAAAAAAAAAACACCATAACCAAGGCAGCTTATAAAGAAAGCTTTGAATTGGGGGCTGGCTTCTAACTTCAGCGGGTGAGTCCATGATATTAATGGTGGGAAGCATGGTGGCAGGCAGACAGGCTCTAGAGCAGCAGCTGAGGGCTTATATCATGAGCCGCAGGCAGGAGGCACAGAGAGGCACGGGGACAGAGGCAGAGATACATGCACACACAGAGAGAGGGGAGGCAGAGAGGGAGAGAGAGAGACATAGAGAGAGAGAGAGGGAGGGAGAGAGAGAGAGAGAGAGAGAGAGAGAGAGAGAGAGAGAGAGCAAGCCTGGTATGGATTTTTGAAATCCTCAAAGTCTACCCCCAGTGGCCCACCTCCTCCAACAAAACCTTCTCTTAATTAGAAAAACATTTCCTAATCCTTCCCAAACAGTCCCACAAACTGAGGACCAAACTTTCAAATATCTGAGCCTACGGGGGCCATTCTCACTTAAACCATTATGTTAACCAAATTCTGTTGGGCGTGTAGGCACATACCTTTAATATCAGCACTCGAGAGGCAGAGGCAGAAAGATCTCAAGGAGGCTGAGGTGCCAACCTGATCTGCATAGTGAGTTTCAGGCCAGATCTGAAACCCTGTCCACCCTACTCCTCTCCCCCCACACACACAGGAAAAAGAAAGAGAAGAGAGAGAGAGAGAAAAAAAACAAATCCAAAGAGTGTATTGCCTAGATTATATTCTTTACAATACATACATCTTTATTTAAAAAAAAAATAATTCTGTTTATTTACAGAATACCGCATGATGTTTTACAATATTTCTACCTTGTAGAAATGCTAAATCAAGCAAATGGGCAGGACATTTTCACATCCTGGTTCTTTTGTTGTTGTTGGCGGTGGTTGTTTGATTGATTGGTTGGTTGCTTAGTCGGTTTGTTGGTTTTGATGTAGATGTGTGCATGTGTGAGTGTGTGTGCTGAGAAATCTACTCTTGAAGCAAATTTCAAGCATGTAAATTATTATTAAGTGTAATTTAAATGGAGTAGTCTACCAGAAAATTCTCTAAGAGGTCAATGAGATGGGATTTTTACCAGCAAAATATGAATAGGATATTTTAATGGAATTTACTTAACTGTATCATAATAGTACTGCTGTTTTAAGAAGTGTATTTAAAAATGACAGATTCTGTGAGAAATGCCATAATGAAGACAGAAAAACATATAGGGCCTGTAAGGTCACACACATGAGCGCATGCAGTAGCAAGGGTCACAGTAACAGCCTGTAAGGTCAAACACATGAACGCATGAAGTAGGAAGGGTCATACAGTGACAGCCTGTAAGGTCACACACACGAGCACACGCAGTAGGAAGGATCACAGCGACACCATGATAGGTGGACTGGCAACAGAAAAGTGTATCTGATAGCTTGACGTAGAGAAAAATGAGTGGGAAGAGAGGCCGGGAAAAGAATAGCCGAGCTCTCTGAGAAAGGTCGAGTATGTAAAGAACGTTCAGTGGCCTTCTGAAAAAGCAGCAAAAGCTAATGAAACAGAGATGCCGAATGTGAGGCCCTCGAGCTGATCGTCTGCTTCCCTTTATGATGTTCAATGCTTTCCAGGAAGACAAATTCTCACTACATGTCTCTGTTTCTCTTACCCAGTGTAGTCATTCATGTCTTCCCATCATTCCTCTAGTTTTAGTAGTACACACACACACATACACACACAAGAATGCGCGCATGCACACACTCATGTATGCACGCAAACACACATATGAACAGACCACCTTAAGATAAGAGATGCCTCTTCCTTAAACATTCTCATCATATTGAGAGGAAGGAGAACCAACCCTCTTCTGCCTCATAATTGAGATGGTGAATGAGAGCTTTACAGACTAGAAAAAAGTCGGTTCCCACCGTGGATAGTCATGCCCCTGTCTTGTACGAGGTCTGCTTGCAGTGGGCTTATCAAGTCCTTTTCATTCCCTCAGAGAGGCAGTTCGGAATGAGGTCTAAGAAGATTCTGTTGGAACATATATTGGCTGTGCCAAAGTGTGCAACAAAGTTATAAAAATGCATTCCTAAGTCACTACGCTGTTTTAAAACTCTAGGTTTCTTTTCTCGTTGTGAAATATTTGTATATGCGTATACATTGTGAAAGGATGGGGACTCAAACACGTTAATTTTGTTGTAGTTGTTTCCTCTGTAGCACAGAATGACCAAGTAGCAATGAAAGCCTTCGTAGTTACTATTGGTTGAACCCTGACTGTATCCATTCAACAAATATCACAGCGTGTTCCAGGCACAAGAAACACTGTAGAAGGAAAACTGCCCTTGCTTTGCTGACAGTTTCTCTCTCTATGCCTTTTCCCTGGAATCTGGTGAAGCACCCATTTGCTTGTTCATCGAAAAGGAATGTTAAATTTACGGAGATGAAACAGTTAGACTGAGGTCAGACAGCAAGCGGCAGAGCTGGGATGCAGCCAGATCTGCCCAGTTCAAAAGGAAAAAGATTTACCCAGCATGCCATAGTTTCCTTTATAAGCATCTCCCGCCAGGACCAAATGTGTTCAGCACTGGCAGTACCAGCTGCAGGAGGGAGCGTGGCCTGGCACACTCTGGGGAGCCTGTGCAGGAAAAGTAGAAGTAGATAGTTCAAGTACAAAGGCATCACATTCAGCAGCT